GCTGTTCATCACCATACTTACCATGGTTCTACAGGAAATTTGACACAGCCACTACTGATTATATTGAGCTAAGGGTGTGCTGTGACCAGGCCATTCATGATGAAGATGCTCCTGTTGGTTTATATGAAATTTACATAAAATGACAATAGAAATTTTTGCTAAATTTTAAATTAATAGCATTGTGTGTTGAATGACAAATTATGCTCTAGTTTTTGGAGCCTTTTACACGAGAATAATCATAAATTAAGATGTGGAAGGAATTTTAATGGATCAGTACCAAATATCAAAGGGATCACTTTCAAATTTAAAAAAAAATATTAATTTTCTCTAGCAATAACAAAGTATTGTTAATAATTTATCTCCCAAGGTAAAAAAATTAATAAATAATAATAATAATAACTAAATTATGGCCAGCATTGAATGTGAATGCATGTTAGTAAGGCAGTCTGAGTGAGTGTCAGGAGGGATGAGGGGGGAGAGTAGGTGGGTTCGTTTTTGGTTTGTGTGATTGTGATGATACCTGCTTCTTTAGTGACTGGTTCTCTGACTGTAGTATGTATGAGAAAGAAAAGATGTAAATGTTAAAACTCGGTTCAAGTTGAAATGATATTACTTGTAATTCAGTGTTCTCTCTTTGGAGAGTTTGGATTCTGTTTTTCTTCATTCTGCTCTCTTTATCTTTCTCCGAGTTCTCAGCTCTCAGTGTGCAAATCAAGAAAACATGCTTGATTGAAAAATTCGAGTTGGTACTTAAGACATTAATATTCACCCTTTATTCCCTGCTATACATGTGTACATACATTTTATACAAATTTGTTATTAATTTATGTTGATATTTAATATCTTGTATTGTACTTGTTTGTCTTTTCAAGGAGTTGCTGGTCTTTTAGTTTTATTTGTTTCTGTAGTGCTGCAATCCCATTCTGTGCTTTCTCCAGTTGTTGCATGATCTCATTATTAAAAGGGTCGAAAATCTCTACCCTATTATATCTTTTGTTTCTTATTGCTAATACCACTATGAATAAAAATAGAATCCATAATAATTATATTAATTAATATATACATTATATTTCAAACAATGTCATTAGACCACTAAATGTTATTACAGAACCTCTTCTCTAATTCTTTCTGTCTCTTCTTAAACATTGTCTTTTTATAATTTAATGTACATAAAAAGCAGAGTGTCTTTTTATCAACTAACACATAATTTATCATGATCCAAATACTTTGTATACATGGCTCACTTTCTTTTTTGATTCAAAAAGTTCCTTCATTTGTTGGAAAAAGTTATTATTGTGAAGGAGGAAATGCAGATCCACTCTGGGATGGTCAGGGCTGTTTACCCATAGAAACTAACTGTTGTTCATCAACATACTTACCATGTTTCTACAGGAACTTGAACACAGCCACTATTGATTATATTGAGCTGA